TTTTAATATAATAAAAACAATTAAATAATTCGATAATTAGGTAAGTATACAGCAAGATTAAAAATAGATGCTCGTTGTGGCGGAAAATATGAAAATTGTTTAGTGGACTGTATGATTTGAAAAAAATGGAAATAAATGTTCAAACCCGGTACGCACAGATCACTTACCTTTGAAAAGGTTTCTGTTGGTTCTCTGGGTACTGGTCCAAACTGAAGCAGAGTACTCTGTAGCTTCTTAGGGCAGTAAAATAGGGGCAGTTTCGTTGTAGTGACCGAACCGTCCGATACGACACGAATTTGTACGGGTCGCATAGCGAGAGTGTGTTATCTACTCTGCGGACGAGAATATATTATTTTTAAAATCTCGGACAAGGCAGCATAAAATGCAGCTGCTTCCAGCAAGTGACGTGTGCGCATATGATAAACGAAAAAACTCGCTAATGAAAAATATAGGCACAATTGAACTTTGTAGATTGCTCTACAAAAACTAAAATAGGCAAAAAAGTCCTTTTGATAGTTTCCTATACACTCGTTATAATTGAGCAGAATGCTGCTTTCCTAGTAATCCTAAGCAGATTTTCCTTTTAAGTTAAGGTACTTACCTACTATAGGGGAACTACAAGATACAGCTGAGGATGAAATAAATTAAATCCAGGAATTGTCAAAATTCTTGAGATGTTTTAAATAAAACTTTTTTTTTTGAATGAACTTTTGACCTATCCGGATTTCTACTTCATAATTTCAGCCTTCCAGCGTTCTTCTTACTCGAGAAGATAATTGAAGGAGTCAAACAGAAAATGGCCATACAGGCTTCTGCCTGAATTCAGTAAAATGTTGATAGGGATGGACACACAAATTTGATTTGCACCAACTCTATTTAGAGCAAATGGTCCAATAATTCCACACTAATAATTGATTCCAAAAACCAAAGCAGCAGTACCTATTTATCAGCCAAAACTCTGAAGTGACTCACTTCAGAAAAACGTGGGACTACCAATCACAAAATGAAGACACACAATTAGATAATAGTTATTTACATTACAAGTGCGTTTATCAACATGATTACAATAATGAGTGTGAACGATTAGAACGACGAGGTCGTAGACCGAGTCGTTCTAATCACACGAGTTTTGTAGTCATGTTCAAACGCACGTGTGATGTACAACGTTTTATCTATAAAGCGAAAAATAGGAGTGTTTTTTCAGTCATTTTCGTTTATTAGTCGTTGTCTACCTTCATGTTACCTTTACAGGTTTAACTTTGACGTTTGTTAAATCACCAAAAATAGTTGTGTTATGAATCCATAACCTAGTCCATAACACCACTAGTTATGTTATGAATTCATAACCTAGTCCATAACACCACTGTTCTGTTTTGAGTCTCATGACATAACTCAAATACTAGAAAAATGGTTATGTGAAAACGTCATAACCAAACGCTCGTATTGTTATATTTAAAATATAATCTTTATATTTCAAAGGTACATAAGATAAGATTTATCAGGTAAAAACTCAACATTGATATGATAGTATACACTGATGTTAAAATAAATTGAAAAATATTAAGGGAAAATCTAGAAATCTGAAGAAAAAAATTACAAAAATGAAATCGACTTGCCTGTCTAGTGGTTTCGCCAGGAAAGAGACCGTTCTAGAACCTAAACCCTGCAGGAAACTAGTCTTGTATTTTTTTATACTTAACTACGTAGTAACCATCGACCAATCAGAAGACAACACTTAACACACACAAAAGACCGTATTGACTTCATCAATGAAATACCACGCTGATTAAAAGGGAATAGATAAAAACACACTAGAATTATTTCAATTGTTCACAAATTACAATTATTCATAAAGTTATGTTAAAAACACAAAACCACTAATTAATTAGCCAGAAATAATTATTTCAGAATCAGAAGTTAGAGAAATACAGAAATATATCTATTTGCTAAAAGTAAGATAAATATAATTTCTTTAAATGAAAATACAAATGACTGTTAATGAGAAATAATAAAAAAATTTATGCTCATTATGGATAGATGGAAGTACTGATATTATACTGAATTAATTAAATTTTGTAGATACCTTTAAATTACTTAAGTTATGAATTATTACTTTTCTGATTCTGAATTGGCAAAAATACAACTTTATAATGAAAATTAGAAGAAATGGAACGTGTTACGAATATGATAAATTTATCGTAACAGCATTTGATTGCATACATTTGTAACCTTTCTCGAAACAAGAGCAAATGAATCGAAATAATTTTACAGTTTGAACTTTCAAGGATTTAAAATTTTCCTGCGCTTTTGATTTGTTACAAAATAATATGTAATCACTTTGATATTACTGAGTACTAACCATTCATGAGTCTGTAAGTCAAACTCTCCGTACAGCTGGCCCATGGTAATCGACTTTGGATTTAAAACATACGTTTGAACTGCCTCAAAAGGATAACCACTAGGCTGGGGCTGTCCTTTAAGTTTTGTCATAGCAACTTGCAACGTTTCATAACACTAAAATAGATAAAATTAATCAATTTAGATAGCCTCCAATCTAAGGGTTGGAATTTAAATAAATGGCATCAGGAATGCTTCCATATTCCATGATTTGTGGCATTAGAATAGAATTCTATTTTATCAGGGTTGCTGCAGCTCCTGGGTTAACATGCAAATGAAATGAATTGAAAATACTGCGGCTTTCAAATATTTTTGATAAGGATATGTCGATCTTGCGGCACGTTATTAGAATTAGTACAATGCAAATAGAAAATACCCAGTAATGGGATTTTATGGCCTAGTAAATATTAGTTATACAGACCAGCTCCACCAATGAATCATATATATAATAAGTTACTAAATTAGTTTTACAGAATATTTGAGTCCTACTTCACTATTACGTGAACAGGAAATTTGTCTATTGATTAAAGAACTTAACCAAATTGCACTTTAACCATTTGATTCCAGGTACAACACGCGCAATTTTTGGAATGTTTTCTGATAACTGATAATTCCAATAATGCCAATCTATTCGAGTTAATTACAGTTTCTTTAAAATATTTGCAATACCTTGTACATAGTTATTTAGGAGAGCACACTAGACTCTACGTCAATATATAAAACCCAATAATTGAGATTTCTTTCAAACTTTTTATATCGGTTATACACGTCTGATTTGGCAAAGCTCGTTTTGTATGTCCATTGAATTTTTTCAAATGCCTACATTTGAGTCTCTTTTTTGCTTTCCAATTTAATTTCGAGTTCTTTTTTGGTCAGCCAGTGAATTGATTCGCACGACGATATAAGTTGTATTTATACAGTTTTGAAATACCAAAACTATTTTCGTCTTGGACGATAAATAATGTATCAAAGCATGGATAACCAACTTATTTGGGTTTATTTTGGAGTAGTTATATGTAACACGATCTTACTAAAATCTTCTATGAATTTCTTCTTCTCTATTTGATATGAGTAAAAAAAAATCAGTCCTCGATAAATGCACTTGTAGAGGGTGGCACAAGTTGATAATAGCTAAATTATTCCCTAAAGTTCCTATATCTGGTATCAACTCAATGGCAAGGGATTCCTTAATGCTCTTGTAACGACTTACGTCAAAAATGCTAACGAGTCATAATATCATGAACGTTATAAAATTATAAAATCAAACCAACATTTTGGGGGTCCTGAGAATGGAACGAGTTACTTATAATATGTAATATTTTCTTCTCCGTCTAATATCGTACAAAAACTTAATTGGATATGACGTGCATTTCTTCTCAAGAAAAATCCTTTCGCTTTCGGGGTTGGGTGGTTTGATAATTACAAAATATTTTGTGAGGAATCTAAGCGGCATTCTTGTCATTCTCCAGAGAGCGCAATTCAGAAATCCTTTTCGGCGACAAGCAACAGCTTGCCGAAGCAGTCATTCAGTTGCGTTTACTTCGCGTAACTTGTTGCTTTCGGTTGCTTGCACGTACAATTTCAATGAAACGGTGTATCAGTTTCACGCGCGCTATCTGATTTTTAATATGCTTTGAAGACATAAATTAAAATGTTTGGTGTGTCGGAAAATAACAATTCAAGACACATTTTTGTGTTCGAAGAAGTGTACGATTTTCGGAACCAATCATACAACGACAGTGTGGATTTGTATCAAGTGATGGGATTTGTCGAAATGTGCCACCCGATTTCGAAATATTTACATACTCTCAATACGTATTACATACCGATAATTATCGTGCTCGGTTTTATCGGAAATTTGTTATCGGTACTTGTGTTGCTGACTACACATCTGAAACTAAGAAGTTCTAGTTATTATTTAGCTGCTCTGGCGGTAAGTAATTTTCGAATAACTTTTCTAAACCAGTTGCGGATTTTTATGTGATGAAGCTAGAAAAAAATCACAAATGATATAGAACTTTTGTGATCTCCGATGAGCTGAAACAACAAAGGAACAATTTTACACTATTTTTAAATTATCTGCTTCAGAACGAAAAAATCCAGGAAAAACTATGGAGTTTTGTAATAAAAGTTACAATTTCATTAGCTCGGTGACGCATTTAATTATACAAAGCTCACCCTGCAATACTCAATTTCATTCAAATAGCAGTATTGCTTTTCAAATTCAAAACAGAACGGTTTTGTCACTGAAACAGCCAATTTACTAGTTCGATAATGAAATATTAATTACATGTCGAACAAAGCTAGAAATGTATAGTTTGTAGTTGCCTCTGCAAATTTCCATATAAAAAAAAAACAGTCAATCAATTTTGTTTTAGGTGTCTGATTTTGGATTTCTGGTAGTCGTCTTTGTGGTTTACTGTAGCTTCAATGAAATTTTCGAGCTGTTCAACCAAGAGGGATTCTGTCAGCTTTTCGTGTACCTCAGTTCCGTGTGTGCTTTTCTGAGCGTTTGGTTGACCGTTGCTTTTACCACAGAGCGATTTATTGCCGTGAGATACCCGCTCAGGCGGCAATATATTTGTACAGTTTCACGAGCTAAAATGATAGTTTGTTGTATTTCTTGTGTGGCGTTGGTATCACAAGTGCATGTATTTTGGGTAAGTTATCATCATCATCATCATCATCTGCTAGTTAATTATTATTCATTGGTTGTTGTTAGGTAGCTGGATTGATAATACACGGAGACAAAATGGAATGCGACGTGAAACCTTCTTACATGCTACTGGGAAATATCATCAACTGCGTAGATACCTTCGTTACACTCATTCTACCAGTGATATTAATTTTGGTTATGAATGTAATTATTGCTAAAGTGGTATTCAAATCGCACAATTTGGATTTACAAGAGGACGATAGGTATTCGTCGGAAAGAGTGCGGTTCCATCATATCGGCTCTCAAGTAAGTAGGTACCGACTATTTATATATTTGCCATTATCTATCAACTTGATTTGTATAATTCAAAATTGTATTGTTCCAGAGCAGTGATTCCACCAGAAATTCAGATCCAGAATATTCTAGCTCATCACGTCGAACGAAATACCAAGATTATTCGTTGAGGCGTAAGTATTTTTATGTTCCTGATAGAATTTTGAAAAGAGGTTGTTGATTTAAGATATTCAGCCAAAAACTGTTATCTGGTTATGTTTGCAACCCTTTATTATTGTTTTATCAACGGAAATTCTTCTATTTTTCTTCGACGTTATATGTAGTGTTGGGTTTAGCTTTGGTGTCAGCTGCACTGCGACCAAGGTTGATCTATGTACCCTTCCTTCTGCCACTAAGTTCAGGTATTCTGCTCAAAGCAGCCCCTCTAGTCCTAGGTCCTTTAGGGACTGAAATGTCTTCCAACTGTATAAGGGGATCAGGTTCTTCATTCTTGAGCAAATAACGGTAACGTAGTTCAGTAGAAGATAGTGAGGTTTCTTTTCTCCATCTTCACAGAATCAGTTATCAGAAACCAATTTCTGTTGGTGTTCCTTAAGTTTACAATGTTATGAGAGATACTAAGTTAAAGTCTTGAGACTTTTCTAGCTAGGGTTGACCAGCAGTTCTGATCTTCTTTAGCTGAAGTTGCCGAATAGATCTTTCGCCTGGTTGTTTTGACCATTCTTTGTTTCTTAGCTGGTTATTTTCCTTTTAAAGAATTTTCTGGAGGTGCGGACTTCCGATGCGCAAAATGGTTCTAGCGCAGTGAAGAGAGTAGACGCTCTCCTTCTTGCGAGTCTTTCTGCGCATTCGTTGCCCTCGACCCCTATGTGTATAGGCACCTAGAGGAGTGTTACTCTGTTTTTTTTTTGCCAGCTCATTTGAGTTTCTATAGACGTTTCTCTAAGTAAAGGAACTATGACAATTCTAGGCGAAAATCGGTCATTTTCCCATGTAAATTTCCATAAGAAAATCTAAGGTCCAATTTGGCAATTTTTTTTACCGTTCAAGGTCATTCGTCCAGCCCGCCTGGTGAGCAGCCGCTGAGTTCAGGGTCATTTTTTAAAGACAGCTTTTTGAGACAGGTCTGTCTACACACACAGTTTTTCGAGATAGTTTAATAGTGACGGGGGCACCTAAGCCTGAGAAATTTTTCGATACCGTGGAAAAATATCTAGATCGGAGGAGCCCTTGATTTGAAAATTCGTGGATTTGACCCGGGCCAACCGGTTAACCGTGAAACATAATACTCCTGTTTGTTCCCACATGAAACGTCGGCGCGTGCTGATTCACGAATTTTTTCTATTTACCACTACTGCATCCTGTAGGAGGACACAACGAACTTCACACTATGTACACTAGATGGCCCCACCGATAACATCATGACGTCGAAAAATTTGGGGTTGGCCCGGGTCATATCCACGAAATTTCAGATCAAAGGCGCCGCCGATATAGAGATTTTCCTATGGTATCGAAAAATTTCTCAGGCTCAGGTGCCCCCGTCACTACTAACCTGTCTCGAAAAGCTGTCTGTGTAAACAGACCTGTCTCGAAAAGCTGTGCTTATAGACAGACCTGTCCCATAAAAAATTACCCTGACCTCAGCGGCTGCTGACTAGCTAGTGCGACCCATGAAAGACGCGGGCACTGGAAAGGGGGCGGGGCTTAGCGGCGGCTGGCGAGCTGGACGGATGACCTTGAACGGTACAAAAATTGCCATATCGGAGCATAGATTTTCTTATAGAGATTTACATGGGAAAATGACCGATTTTGGCTTAGAACTGTCATAGCTCCTTTACTTCCATACTATCTTAGAATTGATGACTGGAGCTTAATGCTTTGATAGCTGCTTGGCTGTCGGACATTACTACAATTTCTCGTTTTCTATAACTTCTGTTCAGGTTGACCTGCAAGGATCTCCCGATCCCATGAAGTTCCATTTGAAATATGCTTCGTGATTTTCCCATCGGCTCCAAGTATCGGGTTCGTGGCCCGAATAATCCGGCTCCAGTTCCCTCAGCAGTTTGGGAACCGTCTGTGTACCATTTGATGGTTTTTGCTTCAAGGGATTGGATAGATTTCAAGTTCCATCTGTTTCTTGTACTTAGTTCCATGGAAAAGTTTCTCGAAACTAATTTTATCAACAATCAGCGTTTTTGCTAGATCCATAAGGTGTGCAGTTTGGAAGAGGAAATGTTCTGCTAAACTGCGTTTTGCCATGTAAAGCTGTCTTCGCCAGTCTGAAACATAATCCACTGGCAACCCGCGTCATTATTATGTAGAGTGGTGGGAGGTCTACGATGACTTACAGTGTCGCGGTTGGGCATGATCTCATCGATCCTATTATACAGAGACACGCGAGTCTTTAGAATTTTCCTAGCTGGCTTCGGGGTTATTAATTTGTCATCACTTTTCTTTTTTCGTCATTCATTTTCAAGCCCATATCTTCCAATGATCTTTTCAATTGGCTAGATATCCACTGGAACTTTTAAAAGTTTTGGGAATGAGCTTTCGGCTGTTGTAATGGACGGGTCACCGTCAATTCGTCGTAAATCAATCTGTCGTACGTCAATTGGTCGTAAAGTTCATTAGTCGTATACGTCAATTCGTCGTAACGTTGATTCGACGTATACGTCAATTCGTCGTAAAGTCAATTTGTCGTATACGTCAATTTGTCATTAAGTTACGTCGAATACCTCGGGGTAAATTGGGTCAAACATCCCTGTCGATATAAAAGCAACTGAATTTTATGCACCACTGGTGACTCATGTGGTAGCCAACGTGTTAACAGTTGTCAACTCAGACATTATGAAACTTACCGATAATTACCCGGTTAGTTGGGGTTAGATGTGAATTGAGAACTAACCCAAAGTAACCGGGTTATTATGGGTAAGTTTCGTAATCTCTGATTAAACAGAAAAATTGCAAAGGACTCATACGCATACTTCTTATGGGATTTCTGACCGCGGTCAAATTTAACCAAATTTTTATTATGTTATAAATCTCACCTTTTTTATTATGCATTTCATCTACCTGTCACCTGCGCCCGAGGATACCTGTTCATCCGGGTATATTATTCGGTGACAGGTTTTGAAGCGCAAACTTACCCATAATAACCCGAGCCACTTTCGGGTGCTCCTAGAATATTTCACGCTTGTCAGTGACCTGTCATACTCCATGCGTTTTGCACTCGAATGTTTCAAACCGAACAGGTCAAACTGTAGCCGAAGTACTTCGGAGTAAGTCGGGAGCGCTCAAAGGGTAGCACTCGAAAGCAGCTCCCGGTTAGTTTGGGTTAACTTGCAATGTTATGTCTGATCAAAATTGCAAACTAACCCAAACTAACCGAGTTATTATCGGTAACTCTGGTAATGTCTGATTAAACAGAAAAGTGTAAATCTATACATGTTAACTTTTTAACATTATACCTGAAATACGACGGATTGACGCATACGACGAATTGCCTTTACGACCAGTTGACGTATACGACGAATGTACTTTATGACGTAGTGACTTTACGACGAATTGACGTTAGACGGATTGACTTACGATCGATTGACATAGACCCGTAATAGACTCGTCAGTTCCCTGAGTTCAGACCAATAACACAGTTTTTCCTTTTTTGCTACACTTTTCATCAAGTAATATAATTGCTTTTTCTTTGGCCATGGATCTGACTATAATATCAGAGTAACTATGTAAAGTTTGCTGGTAATTTACCTGGACGAAACCTTAAAAGGAAAACATTCGCAAAAACAAATTTATATTTGAAATCCTCCCAAAGAAGCATTTAATAAAACATTCAGATAATTATCGCAAAGCAAAATTTAAACTGAAATCCATTTTTTAGAACCATGGGATGAGAGATGCCTTATTACCAAGTCTAATTGTATCTATGTTCCTGTAAATGCTCAAGTGCGCTCACAACAGAAAAAACTAATTATTTTCGTGCCAGGGAAATTTCAATCAGGAATTTAAAATGAAGTTTTCAAGCGTAGGAGCTGGAATTTGTCGCTAAAGCACTTTGTGGAAGTTTTCGATTTCAGCAAATAGTAGTTCTGGATTTAAATCAGCTAACTACAAGTTTTAATTAAAGTCCAATGAATGCTGGACAAAGATTTTAGATTCTTGGCACTGAAACTTTAACATATTCTAAAAAGATTTAGAATGTAGGTTATTTTATCACACTGATCAAATTTTTGTCTTGTTTTAGGTAACAGACCCACTCGAACAACTAGCGTACAAGTTCAGCAAAATATTAACAAAATGCTGCTTATTATTTCTTCCGTATTTATTGCACTCAATTTTCCCAGGTTAGTTGCTCTTTGTTACACTTTATATTTTACATCCAACTTCAATTTTGTTTCAGCTATGTTCTGCGGATCTCGGCATATTTTGGATTCACCCTCAGGAAAAAAAGTCAGCCGGAATTTATGTGGTGCGCTCAACAATTTGCGATGCTTTTGTATTATACAAATTTCAGCATCAACTTTCTATTGTATTCCATGTGTGGGAAATCGTTCCGACTTTGCTTGAAGAAAATGTTCAAGGATACTTATAATAGATTAAAATAAATTATATGTTTTTAATGTTTGTGAAACTCACTGATTGTACAGAAATTGAGACAGTCTTATAGAAATATAGTTTATTTTAGAAAAGGAGTTGATTATTATATTAGATAAGTAAAGGTGCAACACCGGTTCTAGCACAAAATCATTTTCCCATGTGAATCACCATAAGAAAAGCTAAGGTCCGTTCTGACAATTTTTGTACCATTTTGGAGTGGGGGTAAAATTTCCAGGAATAAGCCCCGCCCCCTTTCCAGTGCCCGTGTCTTTCATCGATCGCACTAGCTGGTTAGTCGCCATTGCTTCAGGATCATTGACCTCAAGCGGCTCATCGAACACACATAGCACCTCTTGACTTGGTACCTTATTCAAGGTGCCTCGTACTAATGATGACGTAACTAATAATAAAATCCGCCTCGTGCTTTATCTAGTTGTAGATGTAAGTTGCACGACATGAGTTTTAGGTTACGTAAATGGGGCCCGGAGAACAGAGCGCCAGAAATTGGGGGCCCGTAATACGGGTCAGTTCAATATATCAGACCAGTCTCTAGACCTGTATACCTGTATACAGACCTGTCTCTAAACCTATCTAGCTGTATACAGACCTGTCTAGCTGTAAACAGACCTGTCTCTAGATCTGTCTAGTTGTATACAGACCTGTCTTGTATACAGACCTGTCTCTAGAAAGGTCTGTATAAAGCTATACAGGTCTAGAGACAGATCTGTATACAGCTGTAACTTGTCTAGCTATATACAGATCTGTCTCCAGAGCTGTATAGATGTATACAGATCTGTCTCTAGACCTGTATAGCTTTATACAGACCTTTCTAGAGACAGGTCTGTATACAGCTATACAGCTCTGGAGACAGATCTGTATATAGCTAGACAAGTGAAACCGGTCTGTATACAGCTATACAGGTCTAGATACTGGTCTGATATCGCTATTACTGGCCCCCAATTTCTGGCGCTTTGCTCTCCGGACCCCATTTACATAAGCTAGAACCCATGCCCTAAAAGTTGGCTCCCGCCTCGTGCAACTCACATCTCCAACTAGACAAATCACGAGGCGGAAATTATTATTAGTTACGTCATCATCAGTATGAGGCACCTTGAATCAGGTACCAAGTCACGAGGTGCTATGTGTGGTCGAAGAGCCGCTTGTCATTGTCATACCTGGCCCAGGTATGTTCAATGACCCTGAAGCAGCGGCGACTAACCAGCTCAAAAATGGTACGAAAATTGCCAGAACGGACCTTACATTTTCTTATGGATATTTACATGGGAAAATGACTGGTTTTGTGCTAGAACCGGCGTTGCACCTTTACTTCGATAACTTTCATACGACTAGGTGGCGCCCCTCTTGAAATTGATTGTTATTCTGTAAAATATACCATAAATGCCCCTATATGCGGAATTTATGAATACTCAAAATATTGCAAAAGTCAATCAATAATTTAAATCGCTCATTAAAGTTTACACAATTAAATTACATGTGCTACAAAAGAGATAAATGAGAGTCGGTCATAACAATTAATTCGCATAGACTCGAAGAACATACGACATCTGATTATTTTCCTTTGGCGTGGTTATACCCGTAACTCACTGTTAAATAAACGTCGTAAAATAGGTTACCCTGAACGTTGAGTCGGTGATCAAACAAACCAACCCATTTTCTTTTGTATACTTAATTAAATAAAACTTTATGTTTTCTTATTTGCTTGCACGAGTTTTACGTTTCTTAGGATGCTTTTTTTCTGAAATTAACAATACAAAAACGCCCTTATATACAGTCTTTGGTGAACCTACCTACTTTAGACAAAAACCTTTCATGAAATGCATTTAGATTATCAATCAATTCCCAACTCATCAAACAATGTAACATTATCAGAAATCAAACTAAACATTTTGTCAAACAATTACCTCTCTTGCGATTTCCACGATACAGTTAAGCATATTTTTTCCAGCTTTGTGTAAAAGTTTATAAAAGTAAAATACAGCCCCGGATGTTGCGACCTCGTGATATGGCACGTGTTGCATCGTGCCAGAAACGACCCTCATTTAACGAATGCTCTTTCCATTTTTGTGATTATTATGTTTTTGTTTGCTTTTTTGAATTAATGCATATTGATTTTTTTAAATCTTAGTAATTGTGATGGAAGATTCGCATATCCAGGGTAATAATGAAATACTGGTAAGTTATATTATTATAAACATTTATGTGCAGGCAAAAGCCACTTACCTTGGTTTTTCCAGAACCAGTCGGTCCAACCAACATTAATCCGTGCCGCACAATTGTAGTTTCGTAGAGCTGGATTACTTTTTTGACGTATTCTGTAATCAATATAGAGAATTGGTTTATATGAAATGTTCGTTAAAAAAAAGGTGGAATCCTCCTCCAATCGAATTGGGAACAAAAGTAATATGTATTTCATTCAATATAAATAATTGGCTCTTTATTCTTGATTGGTTTTAGAAACATCATTTACAAATCGCTATGGCTTTTTACAACGTCGAAAAATATATCGAGGTTAGGTTTTTAAGAGTTTGCCCTACAACTGTAGAGCTTGCACTCGGCGGACAATTATTGTGATCCATTCTTCATGGTGGTTCCCTGCAAAATCTTCAACATGTTCCTAATTTCTTCGTTTTGCGCCAATGCATGTTTTTTACGAAATTCAGTATTTCCATTGTCTCTATCTCTCCCGCGTCTTCCAGATCCTACAGGCAACTTTGCCCCGGTCTCGAGGCCCTACTTATGGTGCATTGTTCCTTTTCATAGTGTCCTGTGATTACTCCTACTAAGAATCTTTTATCCAGTTTTAATAATTTCCTAGTTTTCTCTATATCCACGTATGGCCATAGATCTCGTGATGTCACGCAGTCATTGCGATTGCTCCATCCAGTAGTAGTAACAGGGGCACCAGAGCCTGGGAAATTTTTCGATACCGTGGGAAAATCTCAAGATCGGCGACGCCTTTGATCTGAAATTTCGGAGGTTTGACCCGGGCCAACCCCAAATTTTTGGGGGTTTCCTCGGAATTTGACTGCAGCTCCTTCAAACCGTAGTTATGTCCAAATAATTATGAAACGTAACGGGAGCTCCTGAGCCTGGGAAATTTTTCGATACCGTGGGAAAATCTCTAGATCGGCGGTCTTCTCACTCAGCTTCGGGGGCTCCTGAGCCTGGGAAATTTTTCGATACCGTGGGAAAATCTCTAGATCGGCAGTCTTCTCATTCAGCTTGGTACTTTTTCATTCCCAGGTTTGCCAGTCTATCTGCCATTTCGTTCCCTCCGATATTACTATGTTCAGGAACCCAGCTTAGTTCGACATTACTGCTCCTGATCCAGGACAGCGTTTCTGGGCAGCTCATCACTATTTTTGATTTGTGATTCTAATAGTCTCAACGCTGCTTTGCTATCCACATATATGGTGACATTACCCAGTGCATTGTCCTCCCAATCGATGGCTGTTTTTTCAATATAGCAATTATTTCGGCATACAAGATGCTGCAATCATTTCTGAGTTTGTATGACTCTTGAATGTTTAGTTCTTCTGAGTATACTCCGGGTCCTGTGTCGATTTTTGTTTTTGCGGCATCTGTGAAGATTGCTGTCTCATTTTTCCTATGTATAGGGGTTTGATCCCAAACTTCTCTTGAACGCATAGGAAACATCATCCTGGCCTCGAAAGAATATTTGGCCACTGTGTAGTCCGTTGCCTCAAGGAATGTTTCGGTCTCAACAACAAATTCAGCATAACTCTGTACTAACTTTCTGTCAATAGCCTTCCACCATACTGTCACACGCCTCGCGGCTGATGTGTGTAGGAGCTCAGGTAAGGGGTTGCTCTTCAGAAAAACACGCAACTTCAAAAAGGACCTTAACGTATATTGTTTTTAGTAGTAACGGAGCCTCCTGAGCCTGGGAAATTTTTCGATACCGTGGGAAAATCTCTAGATCGGCGGTCTTTTCATTCAGCTTGGTACTTTTTCATTTCCAGGTTTGCCAGTCTATCTGCCATTTCGTTCCCTCCGATATTACTATGTTCAGGAACCCAGCTTAATTTGACATTACTGTTCCTGATCCAGGACAGCGCTTCTGGGCAGCTCATCACTATTTGTGATTTGTGATTCTAATAGTCTCAACGCTGCTTTGCTATCCACATATATGGTGGCATTGTCCTCCCAATAGATGGCTGCTTTTTCAATATAGCAATTATTTCGGTATACAAGATGCTGCAATCATCCCTGAGTTTGTAGGACTCTTGAATGTTTGGTTCTTCTGAGTATACTCCGGCTCCTGTGTCGGTTTTTGGTTTTTGCGGCATCTGTGAAGATTGCTATCCCATTTTCCCTATGTATAGGGGTTTGATCCCAAACTTCTCTTAAACGCATAGGAACCTTCATCCTGTCCTCGAAAGAATATTTGGCCACTGTGTAGTCCGTTGCCTCAAGAAATGTTTCGGCCTCTTAGTGGTCCATGATTTTGGCTGTATCCTTGAGTATTGTAAGTGTCCATAATCGGTTTCTTTTCACTGTTTGGATTCTCTTAGTCTAAGATTTCCTTTTGCAACCGTGCCTTTTATGAACTCTATTTGCAACAAATTCAGCATAACTTTGTACTAACTTTCTGTCAATAGCCTTCCACCATACTGTCTCACGCCTCGTGGCTAATGTGTGTAGGAACTCAGGTTAGAAGTTGCTCTTCAGAAAAACACACAACTTCAAAAAGGAGCTTAACATATATTGTCTGTAGTAGTAACGGAGGCACCTGAGCCTGGGAAATCTTTCGATCCCGTGGGAAAATCTCTAGATCGGCGGCGCTTTTGATCTGAAATTCCGGGGGTTTGACCCGGGCCAACCCCAAATTTTTGGGGGTTTTCTCGGAATTTGACTGCAGCTCCCTTGCAACTGTACTTCTTATGAACAAATCTGTTGGCAACAGATTCAGCATAGCCTCTAAGGACGATTCTCTGTACTTTTGTGAGTATTTTTTACTTCACCTTTCTGTCAATAGCCTTCCATCATACTACTGCTCCGAGCTTATAATGAGCCTCACTATCGCAGTGTACATCCAATGGATGATGTGCGATCGCAGTCCCCATCTTTTGCCGAATAGTTTTCTGCAGGAGTATATTGCATTCAGGCCTTTTTTCATTCTTTCTTCCGTGTTTCTCCTCCATGAGAGTTTGGAGTCAAAAACGACACCTAGATAGTTCAAGGGTTCGTCCCCCAACCATCATCATTGTAAAACTAGGGATTTTGTATTCTCTCGTGAACATGACTAATTTGGGTTTCTGAGGCTTAACACCCAATCCGTACTGTCCTGCCCATCTGGAGAGTTCTTTAATGCTGATTCCATGATTTCACTGATGGTTGATAAGCTGAAGCACCTCACCAGTACTACTACGTCGTATCCTCTCCTGTTATTTTAACAGCCATATTATAGTTCAACATCGATACACATGATAAAAACTGAATAAACCATTAGAAAAATATATTATCAACCCACCATCAACATCTTTTAATCCAGTCTGAATGCATGAATTGCGTATTGCTAGCTCTAAAACCCCATAATCTACGGCTTCTTCGACCATTCTTGGAAACAAGTCAGACACAATACCTAGAATATTAATAAAAAACTTATACTTTGAAACAAAGCTTCTTTCATTCAGTTACCATTGAACAATTTTAAATCGTCTTTCAAAAACTTAGGAACATTTACATCTCTCAAGGCCCTCAAGCATATTTGCCTCTCATCCATATTGGGATTTTCTCTTTTCAAATTTCCAGCTACTGATATGACAGTCTTTACAGCTCGCATACCGAAATCATAATGGTCCTGAAGCAAATATTACGTACCTACTTATAATACATTACATGAGGTTTACTTACCTGTGAGCTAAGTTGTTCAGAGCTAAGCTTAAAAGTAGTCGTTATTTTGTTGGCCAACTGTTTGGCGTTACCAAAGCCAAAGGAAAACAGAGATATTTCGGCTATAAGACTGTAGTCGGGAACCATCATTGAAACTGGTCGGAATAGGGCTTTCAAATTGTCAGGTAGCTCCGTTCTACCAGCGTATCCTAAACAATAAATAAACCATACAGCTTCCATTTTTCAAAATGGAAAACTTACCTGGATTCATAGTAATAAACACTGCGCAAGATTCCTTGAGCATTATCTCAGCTCCTTCGAATACAAGCCTATCTAATCTGGCTTGTTGTGCTTTTTGTATTGTCGCAATTTGCTGCGCTACAACAGACAGCACCTGAAACATATTTAAAAAATATATATATTCTTTGGCCAACTACGATTACAATTTTTACCTCAATATCAATTCGATTGAATTCATCGAAACAGGCCCAAGCACCCGAACTTGCCAGGCCCTTGAAAAACTTGCCCATGGCCATGAAATCTAACTGATCGGAACAATTAAACACGACACATTGTATTGCAAAAGCTTTGGCCAAATCTTTCACAGTTTCGGTCTTACCAGTACCTAACAAGTATTTTTGATAGTACTGGGTACGCTTGAATTGCTAAAGTTTACCTGCCGGCCCAGCTGGGGCACCACCGAACTTCAAGTGCAAAGCCCCAGTTAAAGTTAAATAGCATCTGTCAGTTAGTGGGGTGATAACTAACCGTCCGCTGTTTCCCAAATACTCGTAGCCGTAATTGAATTCCGCATTGACTGCTCTGACTTTCATTTGAAGCTCGACCCAGTAATATCTAAAAAAATGATTTCTGCAAAAACAAATTTAGAAATAACTGATTGGGTACCTTAACTGACTAATCCAATCGAAATCATTGGCACTTCTTATATGCAAATCGACCAAAGTTTGGGTGACGTCACGCGAATGAACTTCTATCACAATGAGAGCCGATAAAATTTCGCGCTGCAAAAACGTCAACATTCCTTTGACCAGCGTCCTTAGGGAATCCAAATTAACCAGCAATGTATCATGCAGAAAAGACGGCAAATTATTTTCTTGAATGCCTGATTCCACGTGGGCTGTCCAGAAGACTTGACTGCATGCTATCACCACTTGACCTGGCCAGCATAACACCCAATCTGGAATATGTTTTAAAGATTTATATAAACTTAAACCAATTGAACAATTCAAAAGTTGTATTATTATAAGCTTCAATGGAAATAAGTAGGATGTCTTAGGCATCGCTCATTCTAGACTGAAATATCAATCCGTACCAATTTGGCAATATTATTGGGAGGGATACACGGGAGGTTCTCTTCCAGGTATTTCGGAGGTCGCTGGTACTCCCGGCGTAAAAGCAGGACAGTTATTCAGTAGCGATGATAGTTTCTCTATAATACGATCCAAAAATCGATTCAGAGCGGAAAGAAAAAAAAAATAGTAACTTCGTTACACTACCTCACCGATATCGTAATTTAAAATCTCCAATATAAAGTTCTCTGGTTAGGAATTTCGTTATAGACCGGTACTTGGTAACAGATTTAGTATATAGAAGGTTTTTAAATGTGGATGTGCTTGAGTCTTGGTACACCAAGGCCCTTCAAAAAGTTAGGAGGGCATAACCCACCATGATGGAAATCGATGACGATGGATGTATACCACGTTCATCGCAGTCGCATTATGAAGGAGGAAAATTTCTCCTACAGCTTCAGTTTCCGTAGAAGTAACAGAATTCACCTTATAGCTTGGTCAATGGAAAATTCAAGAAAATAACAAAGATGTTGCATGACTAGAGTAGAACGAACTAACGTGAGATTAGAAAAACCCTTGTAAGAAAATACATATCAGGAAATCATCTGAAGAAAACATAGGTACTGACTGATATCAGCTCATCATTCGATGCCGATCATTTAGTTGAATATGACTAATAGTGGACGATTACTCACCTTTACGTTCTTTCCCATACAAATCCAATAAAGATGCTCCTAAGGTGGTGCGTATTGTATTTTTCATGGTGCTCTCTACAACCAGCAACCAGTTTTCCACATTTCCGCTAGGATACAACGGAGGATCCAAATTAACGCATTCTTCTTCCGATGAAAACATCTGAGTAATGAGTAAATCATCTGCGAAGGTCAACTGAAAAGCATACAATGTTACCAACATTTTCATAGGGTAAGCTAAATACTTATACCCTTGCAATATTCTCGAAGCATTTTCGCAAATGGGGCTGTACAGCCAATGGGTTTCTTGCCTGAGATAGGATTTCAAGTAGTTCGTCGTCACTGAGGAAATATAAACGTGGAAATATGGTCCTCTTTGTTTCCAGATACTCTGATAGACCTTTTTGGACTACTTGGAGTACATGATTTGCGTCTCTAAGGCTTTCTAGCAGTCTGCGGTCACCACAATATTCGATTACCTATTCATCAATTTCAGGAAGTCATTACTTTAAAACAATCAAGTACATACTTGTGGTAACTCCAATGCATTGCGCATGATTCTTTTCCAAGCCCGTTCCATTGACTTGTACTTTTTACTTTCTACTGGTAACTGTTTGGTTATATCCTCACTGGTGAATATGGGTTCTAAGTACATCCATTGTCTAGGAAATCATTCAAGTAATAAATTGATGAAGTAGGTAATCCAATAAATAAATAATTAGATCAACTTCTTGATACGCTATCACAAAAAAGACAGTTCCAAATCAGTTAACCAATACTTAAAAATTATATTGGTAATTTTTTCAAAAGGGCGTTTATGAATCTATAGAGCTTGATTTACGTAGTCCGTGCATTAGAAGTTTTCCAGATTGCAGGTGGATTAATAGAGATGGCATATAATTTACCTGCAATCTAATCCACGGCTTATGTAAATCATCCTGTATACAGGGTGTCCCAGAATATGTGGGCAATCTCTCGGATTCAGATAGAACACAAAAAAATAACATGACAACTTCCTATAAAAAAAAATCTCAAAAACTATACGCCCGATTGACTCGAAATTCGGACAAGGTTCTTGAACCTGAAGATGACCTCATAAATCAGGCACCCTCAACTAAGAACGGATTCTATAGAACTTCTTTCCCAAACGAATTCTTCACAGAAAAAAAAAATCTTTCGAAAATTCCAATCAATTAGCCTCGACTTTTTGAATCAAGGTAAAGTGGTGTAGCCCATATGTAGCACTGTTGCTGAAGTCATCGTAATATTTTCTATGATGAAGTACTCTATACCACTGAGCTACTGACTCACTGACTTGCTCTCTCACTCCCTTATCACGAGATCTCCAAAACTATACGCCTAATTGACATAAAACTTGCAATATACTCCTTCCTCGACGTAGACACTCACTAACTTTAGGAATTTTCATCCAATCACAAATATAATTTGTCTGTGCTTATTTACGTTGATTGTTTTTTAAATTTGATTAAAAATATTTTCTATGGAAAAGTACTATGTAAATTATTAATAAATAATCCGATTTCTTTAAATTAAACGGCGGGTGAAACAGCAGACAACAGCTAGTAATAATAATATAGATTTTGCTATAATTCCGAATAAAAAAGCTGTTTCCGATAAACCAATTATAATGGAAACTTGATATTTGGCAATTTTAAAAATTCCAGGTGCCGGAACATGGCAGTTACAGATTTACCTGTTTTTTTTAAATAGGCCGTCTGTGAAATATGAGAATATTTTCACACATAACGAAAACCTTGATAAACGGATAGATACAGGCGAAAATTCGGTCCCGTCGCATCAACATGTGGAAATGCATAACACGATTCGAACCCGGAAATTTCCAATATATAATAACTTTTTGAAATAAACACGTACTTTTGAACATCCATCCATTCTTCGATAACTTCAGCAGTTACTTTTAATTTGATTTCCCATTCGTCAATTTTTTCTTCAAACGGACCCTTGAACGGGCTAAAAGATAATTGTTGCGTCAAAACAATGTGGTCGTCCAACATCTGTTGCTGTTCTTCGGAAATTTTCATAATAAAAGTTCCTAAATTTGAAATATGTAAATATATATGGAAATATTTTATGTATACTTTTTTTTCTTTACCAGTAGCTTTATAAGGCTGTATGTCCAGGCGATTATCCTCCCATTCAGCCATCATCTTTTCAAGTGTCTGTTCTATAGAATATTCTTTAGAAGCCCCATCGGCCGATTGTTTTATCAAATCAGCATACTTTTCTATTCCCAATCCCAGCATATCATTGAAAGTGGTAAGTGGGCCCCAGGTAAGGTCAACACCTATTTATAAATTAAATAAATAAATAAAATAAATGACATTCTTATTAGAATAATGACCAGTTTCTTCAGACAGATTCTCCCAATGTCGCTGTCTCATTCCCGGATTTCTTAGACACTGAAGTAATGGAATAAGGGGCCTGAAATTTTCGATTTGGGTTTTGGCTGCAATTGCAACCGACTACTCCAATAAATAAATATCAGACTGTGTTATTTTTAAAATTTAAATGAAACTCACCTGTACTGCTTCTATATCAGCAAAAACCCTGACTAGTTTAACCATCATTTTATACATATCACTTACGCTTCCTTCAATAGCATCGGCGTCTACATTTAAAATGGGATTATCCATCCACGCCTCATGAGAACGCATCCAGTCTATATAGAAACATTTTTGAGCTGTGATTTTCTAATGAATGATTTTTTACCTGATGCTGTTGTCCATAAATTAAAATAGGGCTCAAATTCTTTCATTAGTTTTGTAAGATTTTCGAAAGGTTCTACCGGTACACCAAATAGTTTTTGACGCTGGTTCAAAAGTTGCCCAAATTCTTGCGCTTCTTTCATTGTTTTCCATACTTTTCTAATTTCCAAAGCATATTCGTGAGTCTAAAATTGGGCAATAAGATTTGCGGAAATATTCAAGACTTGAAATAAGAGTACCTTGTCTATATCCCGATACCCAGACATATTGACCACTTGAGTAGTTAAAACTTCAATTCTATCGTTTAATGATAATTCGTCGTTTAATTGTAGTTTGAGGTACTTGTCTTCTTCTTCGATTAAGAATTTTTCGTAGGCATCCACTTGCTTGAATATTTGGAGGGGCCAGCCGATGGCTTCCCATTTATTCTCGAAGTCTTCGGTTTGTAAGGCGTACCAAAAGTGATCTAGCACCTCATATTCCTATGCAATCATAAGGATTTAATGAATACTTCAAAGAGCCAATTGGAATCAATGACATCTTAACACAGATACACACCGCATCTCATTCATAAACTGATGTTTGTTGTGATGACAAGACCTCCCATAGGCCAGGAGAGATGAGCTACTCGAGGGGGGTCATGGTGGGGTTGCATCAGAGGTATAAACAAGACCCGCCTTCTCCCTTGACCCAAAATAATGAAGAAATGCGCACAGGTGCAACTCTTTATCTATTTCTCTGCCTCCAACTCATAAGTTCGATGGAAGCATTGCCAATCGACTACAGCGCGTTTTTCGCCGGTTTCACAAAACCAGCGTTGCCAGTAGTCGTTAGTCGTTTTCAGTCTTGAAGCTCCAATTGTTTGAAGCAAAGTCATAACAGGATAAAATATTAGTCCCTAACAATTTATCAACCTTATTGGAGAAGTGTGACGTGCTTTCGATTTTTAATTGACTTTATCTACGGTATTGAACGCGGCCGAGCAGAGGGAATTGGATCGGCGCGCGATGTTGCCGCCGCTCCTTTACTTTTCCTAGAAAAATATGTATTTCATGGAAATGGATAAGGCAGCGTCGGCTCACTCTTTGGCTTGAGCATGCGTACAACGGAAATCGGCCGAAATGGCATATTTCGGCAATTCTTTCCTTCACGGTAAGGGATTTCAACGGTTTAACAGCGGTCTGAACGGTCCTTCCAATGGTAACGGCTAAAATATGTCACTTCGTGCAAAATCCCGTTTAATTTTTCTGGGTCCCTGCTCGGGCGCCAAATTCGTGACGTGCTTTCGGTTATTAATTGACTTGAATCAATTTGTGGTTAATTATCTAATTGGTAATCTAAGGCGCCATTATAGTGGCTGAGGGCCCACTTTGCTCCAGGTAGCTTTTTACAATGGACAAAATATCCCAGAGGTCAAATAAGAAGCTTTTAGGAAGTTATCTGAAAGTAGGGATAACAAAGGGAACGGAATAAAACAGACAAGATTTTAGTGCAACATAAATTCCTATGTATTAAGTAATAATTTAGGTAGGAGGGAATGAGGAGGACTGCCTGTAAGACAACCAAGGCAGCCCGAGGAAGGGTGTTAAAACTATAAGGAAACCTGCAAATTTATACATCCGTATCTACGGTATTGAACGCGATGCAGCAGAGACTGCTGCGGCGGCGGTACTGATGGTGTGACTCGGAATCAGCCAGAGCCCTACCATCCTTACCTTGGTAGTAGTACGCGCGGTCGGTTTGTAGACGAGCAAATGTTTCCTCGAATCGACGGTCTGCCGTCGTATTTAAATCTGCGACCGAGCAGAGGAAATCAGATCGGCGCGCGATGTTGCTGCCGCTTCTTTACTTTTCCGAGAAAAATATAGTAACTTCGTTACACACCCCCTCTCTTTAAATACAATTTATTTCCAATAAAATATTTTTCACAAACCCTAAATGAAGAACAGAAGCACGTCTGGTTTCTCTTTTTCTACTGGTGTTGCGAGTTTCGGTTATCGGGGACTTATCACCCCGACAGTCGAACTCGCTGTAGACTGGGCCTATTTTGACACATTGAGAGCAAAACTTCACGGGTTTGCCCGTGCAAGCGTTTCTTTGGTGTCTCGGGTACCCACATCGCCAGCAGAGATCCATATGAATGGCCTGAATGGGTAAGAATAAGGGGTCGTTGCGGTAGGTGGAGTCGGTGGTTGTGGGTTCTGGTGGCTGGGAAGAAGTTCTCTGACCTATGGTTTCTTGGGTGTTCGAGGATCGTTTCCGTGTCTATGTGTCCTCGGGTGTAACAACTGGAGGGATCTCAGCGCCATTGGGGTCGTTGTCGATTTCTCGGCTCTGGGAGTCTTGGGGGACTACCGGAATTCTCCGCCTCGGTTAAGATATCCTCTAGTTCTTCCCTTGCGGTAATGATTTCCAGAACTGGACTCGCCATTTGGTTGGATACTCGGTCTCGGTAGTTGATTCGGTATGAGCTGGTATCGACACAAAACGGTATCGGCGTATTATGTTTTAAGTCTCGTCGCTTTGGTGGCCCTTGATGAACTGTCCTCTCTGTGGTTTGGAAATCGGGTTTTATATTTTTCCAATGATGGTAGGGATGGTGTTACTGCGCACACTCTCGTCTCTCTATTCGGAAGGGATTTTTGGGTACTCCGAGGATTTTTAATCAAACAAAATATTTTTCATAAACCCCAAATGAGGAAATGGAAAAAATTACAAAGGTTATCCATACATATAAAATGAAAAATATTAATCTGCGGTTTGAAAATCGGGTTTTATACTTTTCGAATGGTGGTAGGGATGGTGTTACTGCGCACACTCTCGTCTCTCTCTTTGAAAAGGAATTTTGGGTTAGGCAGCGTCGGCTCAATCTTTGCTTTGAGCATGCGTACAACGGAAATCGGTCGAAATGACATATTTCGGCAATTCTTTCCTTCATGGTAACGGATTTCAACGGTTTAACAGCGGTCTGAACTGTCCTTCCAATAGTGCCGGCTAAAATATGTCACTTCGTACAGAATCCCGTTTAATTTTTCTGGGTCCCTGCTCGGGCGCCAAATTTGTGACGTGCTTTCTGTTTTTAATTGACTTGAATCAATTTGCGGTTAATTATCTAACCATTCCCCATTACTAGCATTTGTTTCGGCCTGCAGAAACCCTAATGCAGTCAGAAGGGATGAAAAAAGGAGGATTGTCCGTATGACAAGCAGGACAGCCCGAGGTAAAATGTAAGTAGGACGGAATGAGGAGAATTGTCTGTAAGACAATTAAGGCAGTACGAGGAAGGGTGTCAGAACTATAAGGAACCCTGCCGGTATATACTATCTACGGTATTGAACGCAATGCAGCGGGACTGCTGTGGTGGCGGTACTGATGGTATGACTGGGAATCAGCCAGAGTCCTACCATTTTTACCTTGGTACGCGCGGTCGGTTTGGAGACGAGTGGATGTCTCCTCGAATCGACCGACGCGCAATGTTGCCGCCGCTTCTTTGCTTTCCGGAGAAAAATATAGTAACTTCGTTACAAGGGATACACCGGAGGTGGATCGCTCTCCTGACACAAAATTTTGTTTACTGTAATATCTATCTGTGTTAATATGTCATTGATTGGAACCCAGTGGGCTCCAAATCTTTAACAAATAGAGGTCGCTATCTCCATCGCTATGGCACTTGCTATCTTCTTTTCACTTTTTGAAATCAATAGAGAAGGGATGTCAATGTCAGTAACAGCTTCGTTATGGATCCTATATCGCACTGACAGTGCAAAAACACTAGGTTGGATCCACATCGAAACTGAATAGCATTTCACAACGATTTGTCTCTCATATTGTTTCTATGGAGGCCTTGCCTTTAGAGTTTGTTTGGATATAAATTTGCTTACCATAACATATCTTTTACAAGTTTCATCTAGAGATCTTATCGTCATAGGAATAGTTTCCACCCAATCCCGAATTTCGAATATATGCTCAATGCTATCTGGTTTAACAGTTAATTTGACCATGACATTTTTGTAATCTTGCAACAGCTAAAAATGTTAAGCCAGTCATTTTCCTCTAGCCAGTATTTGTATGCAAAGCTGTGACAATTTTCACCAGTTGAGCAAGTGTAGATGTTTTTCCACTTACATCTTCAACTAAATGTTTCATTCTAAACGAAAACAAATCCAATAGTTTATTGATAATTTCTTGGCGTTTGTTGATTAGAAATCCTCGTAGATGGTCAATTTGAACGTAAAATGGACCTATAAATATCAAATTGGGCAAAGTCTCTTCTAAACTTTTTTTCAATTTATAATGCATAGAAATGTCTTCTTTTACTTCAGCGGCGGTTCGTTGATCAATTTCATAATTTCTAAAAATCAATTGAAGTTACTATGTATTAATTTCAATTTCATTATAACTTACTTGATGTATTCTATAACATTAAGCGTGTACAAATTGACATGTACATCAAATTCTTTGGCGAAAGCGTTCAGTGGAATGCAAGACTTCTCGTAGGCTAGCAAGAACCTATCTCTTATGTGGCAAACTTCGTCCGCCATAAGACCCACAGAAGACAGACACAAATCGGGAGGAAATCTTAAGTTGGATAACAGTAACGGATGAACTTGTCTTATTTGGTGAGTCTGCCTCAAAGCTTCATCAAAAAGTTTCAGTAACACGATCTGTTAGTTGAAAGAACAACTCAATTCTAGATGTCTACAACATGGCAAAAGCAACTTACACCGAATAATTCTGGAGCGGTACTATAAAAACCACCGTTTTCGTCCATTTTTAATTGTAAACTGAAAATGGGTGCGGCTGCAGATATAAATGGACTGTTGATGAGATCTGATCCCCAAACGAAATCTGTATCAACTACGAGGCATGGCAAACATGGCGTTTCAACCATATTTATAAACACTTGTAGGGTATTTTGAAC